TTTCATTTATGTGATCGGCCTGCATTTAAAATGAACATTTACCATAAATTAAAGGTATCTTATATTATTAGATATATTATTATAAAACATGCTTTAGTTAAGGAGTTATTGATATTTCGAGTGCAAAATGATGATATAAAACATTGATAAAAATGCACTTTCAAATACTAATCATTAAGCAAGAAAAAAATTGAAAGAATAATTTTATATAATTTTTTCTTTTGTTCTTCATCTCTTTTCTTTTAATTCTACAACTCTTGGTTAAAGGAAGCCTTAACAAGTTGGTATAAAAGCATGATTTTTGGGTATTAAACACATTTTTCATCATTAATAAATAAAATATGGTGGAGAATAAATGAGAGCTTTGGAAGAACATAATTAAAAGTTTGATGAAGAAATACAAAATATTTATAAATTCATACTTAAAAACCAGAATATTGATGAAGTGATAGATGGAACAAAACCAGAAGTGATGGATGGAACAAAACCAGAATATTAAATAGTTGCTATGAAGATGAAAGCTATAGTGATAACTCTAAATTTTTTTCATGGTTAATTAAGAGCATAAAAAAGAAAGAAGGGATGACTAGAATCATAATGGGATTAATCTTTAACCAAGAAACTGCACTCGTGGTAAAGCTAATAAAAATCAAGACAACAACAAAACTAGATATAATTTAGCTTTACCTAAGATGGAATTTCCAATTTTTCTTGGTGAAACTTCAAGGGGGTGGATCATGAAAGCAGGAAGTTTTTTAAAATGCACTTCACATTAGTGCATCAATAAGTGGAGTTTGTTATCTTGAAGGAAAGGTAGAAATCTAGTATGACATTTTTATTGGAAGATAATGATTTAACTAGGTGGGAGAAGTCTTGTAAGGCTATTTGCATGAGATTTGATAACCTAAATGATATAATAGAGGAGTTTAATAAGATGAAATGGGAAAAAGCGATGAAAAAATATATAAACAGGTTTGAACAGCTTAAATTGTTGATGAACACCTTTAATCTCTCATTATTATAATCAGATTATATGTCCAGTTTCATTAGTAGGCTTAAAAATGTTATTAAACTAATTCTTAAGATAATTAAGGCAACTACTATAATGTAAGTTTTTGACTAGGCTAAGTGGTAGGAAGAATCAAACAATGCATAGCTAAGAAGAACAAATTTATTTCAATAATCAATCCCTTGTACAACATTAACAAACTAACAAGTGATTCACTATTCAAATCCTTCATTCAGCCTAAAACAAAAGTGTCACTAGGCTTTAAACAATCTATTAAAATTATATGAATAAAGAAAAAGAATGTGATAGTGTTTTAAGTGTAGACAAAAATATGTTCATATGTATAAATATAGTAGAAATAGAATATTTATGATAAAAGGAGTGAAAGATGACTAGGAAAAACAATTATGTTAAAAAAAGGAATAAAAGTGGGAATACCATAGAGGATGGTAAGATTGATGAATATAGGTTGTCATTAAATGCTTTAGCATAAACTATGCATATAACACCATTAGAAACAGAGAGAGATTTTAAGGAAGGGATCTTCTTATCTTTATTGATAATGAAAGAACACTTAATTTTATTGATAAACAAGTTGTTAAAGAAATCAAGATGGTTATTATGGGGCAACTATACTAGTAGTAATAGTGATTAATAGTAATGTCATGAAGTGTAATGCTCATAATCCAGGGTTTACATGGTTTATAAAAAGGTATGAGTTTCAAACAGATTTAAGGATATTGAAGCTCGAAAAGTATGATATGGTGTTGTGAGTGGATTGATTGAAAATCTACTCACCAATATTGTATGATTTCAGAAATTATCATTCAAGACAAAAAGGTGAATGATTAAATTAAAAGGAATCTTTGAATAAGTCAGGTTCTATATGGTGTCATATATGGTGTCAGCTGCTAAAGTGTATAAAAGCTTAAAGGAATCATTTTATGGATTTATTAGCCAATTTTTCTCTTCAAAAGTCTTTGAAAAACCCACTTAAATGAAGGCATTGCTATAAAAATATCAAGAAGTTTTCGCAAAACCAAAACACCTTTCACTTGCTAGACAAATACATCACATAATTCCACATATTCCAGAAGCCAAACCAGTCAACATTAGACCCTATAAATATTTATTTATGCAAAAGGATAAGAAGTTAATAAAAGAGATGTTACAAAATGGCATCATTCAACCAAGTTTCAATCTATTTACTTTTTATGTTCTATTGGTGAAGAAAGAAGATAATATTATAAGGTTTGTTGACTATAAACAACTTAATGACTTGACTATTAAGAAAAAATTTGTATGCCAAGCAATCACAGAGTGTACCTTTTATAAACATCAAATGGAATACTTAAGATATATTATTTAGGCTAAAAGTTTCGCTATTGATCTTAAGAAAGTAAAAGTTATGAAGAATTAGCCTACTCCAAATGTTATTAAGGAACCAAAGAGGTTCCTAGAATTAGTAGGTTATCATAGAAAGTTCATCAGATAATTTGGAATTATTAGCAAACCTTTAATTGTCATGCTAAAGAAAGATAATTTCAATTGAGACATGAAGACTAAAAAACTTTTAATCAATTGAAAGAAGAATTGTGTAAAGATCTTATGTTAGCCTTGTCAATAAGAATTATAAAAGGAGATATATTAATTAAAGTAATAACATAGTTAAAAAAAAAAAATCATGGGCATCTTGATGGCAACAATAGCAGTAATTCCAACTTGGTATAAAAACATGAGTGAGACTTATGAAGATAGTTTTCAATTGCAAAAAGTTATCACTGAAAAGATAATTAATACATGTAGTTGGCTAGATTATAATCTTATATAAGGAGTTTGGAAATACAATAACAAGATAGTGATCGGTAATAGAGAAAATCTAAGGACTAAGTTGGTTCATAACTCACATATAAATGGGCATACTAGTGTGCAAAATACTTACAAAGGCTTAAAACAATGTTTTATTGACTTTTAATTAAGACTCTTGTAAAACAATTTGTGGAAATGTGTGATGTATGTAAGGAAAAAAATGATTGAAATGATAGCTTATCATAGGTTATTCCAGCCATTGCATTTAAATGCAAGACTTTAATTAAGACTCTTGTAAAATAATTTGTGGAAATGTGTGATATATGTAAGGAAAAAAATGACTGAAATGATAGCTTATCATAGATTATTCCAGCCATTGCATTTAAATGCAAGAAGGGTCATGGGGGAATATTGCAGTGAATTTTATAGAATGGTTACCAAGTTCAAGCGGAATGATATTATCATGGTCATAATGGACAAGTTCACTAAATATACACATTTCATTACAATGATATATTCATTTATAGCTCAGGATATAGCTCAAGTATGTTTAGATCATTTCTATAAAATCATTTGTTACAAGCTACAATTATCACAAACAAATTGTTGATAAAAAAACAAAACGGGAGTTTGAAATTGAAGATTAGCCTTATAAACAAACTAGAATTGCCTTAAAAATGAGTATTAAGTTGAATCCAATATAATAGAGGTGTTAATAAATGGTTGCAAAATCGATTTAAGTTAATATTTTTTTTGTACACCTTAATTGATTTCAATGAACAAGCAGTTTCTTCATTATATAAGACTTTCTAAATGAGTTCTAAGTTGCTCTGGTGGATCTTGTTTAGGAATGCAATTCAAACTATGTTCGGCCAAAATTTGAAGAAAAAAAAACTTAAATTTAATTATTTTTTCTTGTTTTCAAATTATTTTCATTTGTTGATTTCAAAAATAATTTTAAAAAATATATATATAATTTTTATGAATTCTTAAGTGAAACATTTTAAAAAACAACCATTATCATACTCTCAAATTCACTAAAAAGGTCACGGTGCTTGGCAAAGTGCTGCTTGTAGCAGCCATAAGCAGAATTCTGTTAAGGCTTCTCTTAACAAAGAGGTGTAGAATTCAAAGAAAAGAGATGAAGGATAGACGAAGAAGAAAGAGACAGAGAAGGAAGGATTACAGCACACTGTTCTTTCACTTATTTTCTTGCTTAATTTCATCATAATACCCTTCATTGTTTTCTTCAGTTAATATGAAAGTTCAATTTTTCTATTTTATTGTTTTAGTGGGGAGCAATAACGCAAAGGAAGCTGTGCGATTGCCCCAAGTAAAAGAAGAGAAAAGCTGCAATTTCCTGTATTCTGTTGTTTATACGGTGAAAGTATCATTCACTCTGAGTAATACTGTTACATCAAAGGTACAGGGAGAGCTTGACACTTCAAATTAGAAAATTTCCTATGGATTGACTTTTAGGGCGAAATCAGTGAGGGCAAAGAACAATGGGATCCCACGACTGCATGCAGGAGCCCCCCTATGCAAGATAGAGGATCTAGGTCAAACTACTCTGTACACGCACTACGGCAGGGACGGGTTTATATTAAGACAGGAAAAATGATGCCAAAAATATATAAATTTCCGGCGCCGCCTTCATATAGAGTATACAAGCAGATAATGTGCCATAGCACAAAAAAACAAAAACACATGGGACAGACGCAAAACTGAAAAATGTGATGAACAGACTATTTCGATAGGATGGCAGAGGGTGGAGATCCCCTGACATCCAGAATTTTTACCAGATTCCCACCCTGCATGAATAAGATCAAATCCCTCCACGCACGAAGGTACGAAAGCTTACAATGTGAACATGAAATGTCAAGTAGCATGCATTGAACTTTCCCATGTTGCCTATTCTACACCTACAATATTCTACAACACATTACCTAGGCTTTTGAACTCCATGCATCCATTTGCTCCATGAACATCATCTTACCAAGCATGCTGAGAGTGCAACTCATGATGATCAGATTACAATGCATAAACTATCTCCCCACTGCTGTCAATATCAAGCTCGGATTCAGAATCTAGATCGTCCATGTCATCATCCATGTCTAGATTGTCCATCATACATCGATTAAGACCATGGGCTCCAACTGTTGGTACAGTGGCCTCGTAAACTATCTGCATGATTGCATCAACGCTCTGCATGGGCTGATCAGGCTCTTCAAACTGGCTGCCCATAGTTTTTTCATCCATTAGGTCAGCGGGAAGATTCTTCAGAAACCACTCATGATTCCTGATTTCAGGGATGGTAATCCTCTGTTGCATGCAAACAGAAAAGGCAGGAGGATCACCAGAAGATCACACAAACTCAAGTGCTACAGGTTGAGTGCATCATCTATATCATAATTTGCATGATTTTAAAGCAATTTGAAGTATCCAACAAAAAGAAAAGGGAGAGAAAGTACTCACAGTTGCAGGATCGGCATCAAAAATCCTTGAAATCAGGTGGCGACACTCTGGGGTTATCACAATGGAGTCTGGAATAGAATACTGCACATTAATAACTCTCTGCACATATCCAACCAAAAAAAAAATCATAAAAATAAATTGCATAAGAATTAAGAGTTTAGTGAGTAATAGCAGGATCCATTAGCATGTACCTGTATTGTCTTCCGGAAGTCTTTAGGCTCAGCAGGGTCCTCGAAGGGATATGATCCAACCAGCATCACAAATAAGGTTACACCACATGACCACACATCTGCAACCTGGCATTGCAGAGCAACAAAATATCCACCTGTTAAACATAAATGCAGCTGGAACACATGTATGTGCACATGTGAAGCATACATCAACTAGTACTTCTAACAGCCACATAGGATATGATTAGAAAAGAAGAGAGAGGGGAGTTGAAAGGTGGACAGAGAGAGAGAGAGTACAAGCATGCCTACACAGGCTTAAGGCTAAAAGCATAGAGCACCATGGGAAAATTGTGTTTCCCCTCAAATCAACACATGTTCACCTAAGGCAAAATCAAGATGCAGAAAGCACAACTCAAGTTAAAGCCCAAGGCATTGAAATCAGCTTTCTCATCTCTAATTAAATTACATATAAATTTATGGTTTTTGACCTTTGATCAACCTTTACTTCAACACTTATTACCATAGACAAGGCGCTTCCACTAGCTAATGGACTAATTGCACCTTCTTTTTCTTTTCTTTATTTATTTTTTTATTTCTATTCTTTGGTTTAAATATTATTCTTAGAAATAATGTTGCACCTTGAAAATGTGTTTTGCTATATCTACGTGCACTTGCACTGCGTGCTTCGCACCAAGGCTAAACCTACAAAAAAGCTTAAATACTCATTGCAGTTTAAAGAAAGAACGCATGCACATGCCATGTCTGGTGATGAAAACTTCCAACCAGCTTTTGCTACTTGTTAGTTGCTAAATAAAACAACCTGCTGGCAACTAATGAATTTCAGTGTCATCCAAGCAGAACAGAATCAAATCCGTTGAAAATTGGAATACCTTATTGTGTAACCAAACACCAGATGAAAAACTAAAAAAGAGCAAACTAAATGAAGTAGAGCATACCAAAATCCTTCAAGAGCTGCAGGCATTGCCAGAAAAGGGGGATGCAAAGCAAAACTTCCAAATTTGGTTAAAGTACACAATAACAAGGACAATGTAGAGAGGCCTAAATCTCTTAATTTCCAAATTTCATTTTTCCACCAAATTTCATTTTTCCACCAAACACAACTAAGTGTGTGTTTGGTAATGCAGTTGATTGAGAGAGCTTTTCAGAATTCTTTTCATCTGAAAAGGAATCGATTTGGTTAAAAAAAATTTAGATGTTTTTTTATGGTTTTGACATCCTCATATTGAAACAATCGAAAAGCACATAAAAAAACATTAATTTGGTTCATTTTTAGATTTAAAAAAAAAACACCCAAACCGCAATACTACCAAATGGTGACTAATTGCCAATCACTTGAAACAAAAGAATAAAAATAGCACTCGGTACAGTAAGAACCTCTAATCTGGGTTCAGCCAAATTATCCTAGCATATTTTGTAAGCTAGGACTTAGAATAAACACAAAGCCCAAGTGCATAAGATGATGTTGGTAGGATGTAATAATAATATTCTAATTGACAACACATAATTACCTTGCCATCATATTCTTGCCTCAACAAAACTTCTGGAGCAATGTATGCAGGAGTTCCCACAGTTGACTTCGGTTGAGAGTGAATCATTAAAGACTAAGAGAGCACCCGTATGTATATGTAAGGTAGAAACAATAATTAGTAATGCTAAAGCCTTTGGATAGTGAATGACAATCATGAAGTGCTACAGCACAACAAACAATTATGGTTCACAAACAAGAAAAAAATTGAAAAAAATAACTAAAGCAAGGGCAGCTTAGGGGTTTTACCACAACACAAATTTGAAAAGCTAAAGATTATTCAATTCCAGTTTAACACAGTGAAAGCAACTTCCAGGCAGAAAGGCATGTTACATGAAATATAAGTAAGAAGAGAACTGATTGTCATCCATAATGTAAAGATCCAGATCATCTGCCTCTAGAGGACAGCCTTTCAAAAGAATCGTGTACTCAACATGGAAGCACCACTAAAGTAGGATAATCCTAAGACTTGATCTTATGCACCAGAACATTCTTAATCAAAATATATTAAGGTCTGAAATTTTGGTAAATATACAAGTACAGGCCAGACGCTCTGCCATATGAAAAGAGAAAAGGCAAGTGAAAGATAACATTTACCTTGGAGTACCCAAAATCACAAATCTTCAAACGAGGAGCAGGACTATCATCCAACAATGTGTTCTCCAACTTCAAGTCACGGTGACATACTTGCTTCATCAAGAAACACGTTATTAAAAAGCCAAACAAATAATCTAAAATTTCAGTTTCTATCACCTCGAGAAATTATAAAAAGACAAAAAAAAAAAAGGAACAAGTACCATGGCATGACAATAGCTGACTCCAGATATAAGTTGTTGAAAGAAGAACCGTGCCTGAAACAGAAACCAGAGTCAAGAAACCATAGAAAAAAAATGCAACCATTACACTGCCGAAGAAAGGAAACATAAAAAAAGGTCCAAAGATAATTGTATAGGAACCTCATCCTCGCTGAATCGCCCACTCTTGCAAATTCGATCAAAAAGCTCTCCTCCAGCTGCATATTCCATTACAATTGCCAAATGGGTCGGTGTTAAAATCACCTGGAGTTAGATTTATATCAATGCATACATATAGCTTAAACCAACATCCCTTTAAAACACTAACAATCTCGTAATAATAATAAAGAAACAAGTAAACTAACCTCTTTAAACCTCACAATATTGGGGTGCCTCAATGACCTATGATTTATTATTTCTCTCTGAACATTTTCATCAACCTATAACACAATAATACCCCATCAGAAAAACTTCAGGAATTCCATAATCTAATCATTCTCCCCTCAATATTTAATTTTAATAAACAAAAAATAAATAAATTCAGTGAGAAATAATACTTCAAAAAGCTAAAATAGTATATTTATATCTCCTCTTTATCTTTTAATAATAATAATAATCATAGATAGATAGATAGATAGAAATAGAATATCATGTAATCAGAAATAAATCCATAAATGAACCAACAACATTAAATTCAGAAACTATCTAAATTTAGCAACCTCCATTAATAAACGTGACAAATCAATCAAACCAATCATCAGTTCACAATAGAAAATAAATAAAAATAATAAAAACCAATCCTTCTTTTATAAAAACAAAAACAAATACGGACCTTATCGCCTCTTTCTATGTATTTAACAGCAACAAGTTCTTTAGTAACTTTATCTCTCATCAGCCGAGCTACACCGAAATTACCCGCCCCGATATCTCTCACTAAATCGTACCGATCACTATCATGCATGATCGGCATGTCCATTCCCGGTCCTACTGTCATCTCCGATCTATGCATTTGTCTTCCCCGTTTTGTCCCTCACCACTCCTGCTTATCACGCATTTACACCAAGGTTACCCTAAAACGAAACCGTTTCTGAACCGGGCCACTGAAAGATATTTTTTTGTGATGATCGGAGCGGAGGCCAATAGATTAGACAGAGAGAAGACTTTCTTTTTTATAACAGAAATGATGATATTTTTAAAAAATTTATATAACGAAGAAGAGAAGGGAGAGGATGAGACAAGACAAAAGAGGGAGGAAAACGACGCAGTTTTGTGGTTTCGGTTTTCTTTAGTAATTTTATTTTTTTTAATCATATTTGCACAGTTGGCAGAAGTGGTTTTCTCCTCTCTGGTTGCTGGTTTTGTGCTGTCTTTACTGGTTTGTCTATTACTAGACCACTCCTTTTGTTGTCTTCTTCTGTGTTTTAAATGACTTAAATGCCCTTGTTTTTGGATTTGCACCCATCACGTGAATTGCACGTGATCACTTGATAGATGGAGTTTATTTGGTTTTTGGAAGGACTTGAAAATATCCAATGAAAATGTCCGAGGAGGTTAGATGGCACCAAGGCTTCCTCGCTCACATGTAATGGTGGAATTGACAGGTAATAATTACGCTGAATGATCTAATTAAGTTTTACGTGATCAAGTAAGTGTTGTTTTACAAATAGCTAATAAGCTCATGTTTGTGTTCTGCTTTTAATACTGTGTGATGGGTTCTTTTTTAAATTATTTTTTATTTTAAAATATATATCTGGGAGTGTAATATTTCTTTTCAAAATAATATTTTTTTATTCTTAAAAATTTATTTTAAAATCAACATATTAAAACGCAAAAACCTTCCAAAAAAAAAAAGACTTCCAATCATTGGTGCTAAGGCTTCCAGTAATAGATATATGATAGCAACTTCGCATCTTCATTAAAAAAAATAAAAAAAAAAATTCATGAAAAGCCACAGCCCAAATAAATGCTACAACTGAGTTCTATACGATTTAATTCTGCACGGGTCATTCATTGCTAAATAAGATGTTAAAAAGAAGTGTACAATAATTTATTTTTTCTTGAATAAAATACAAAATAGTGATTGTTTCGCTATTAAAAAAAATTGAGAAAGAAGGACGGGGTAGGTGTAGCCCATGATAATTATAATAATAATAATAGTGGTAAATAAATAAATAAATAAATAAATGGAGGGGATGGCGATGAAGATGGGTATTCTGATGATCTTGGACAAGTGGGGATGGTCTGTTCATGAATTGAGGCTTTGGAATAAAGGAAAGTTTCTGAAGTCTGAAGGATTTATTAATTTGGTCGAATAAATTAAGGAAATGGGCATGTGATGTGTGGTGGAGTACGCTGCCCTGAATGTTCTTTATAGTTTATCTTATGGTATGATTAAAGTGACACGATGCATATGGTACTTTGATTTCTTATTTTTTTTTCCCATTTCCTCACTACCTTATGCCTTTTGTTATGGGGACCAAATACTATTTTTTATTCATGATAAACTTATATGCAGCTTTCAGCATAACCTCTCATTTATATAAAAACTCCCCGCTACGTAAATATCAAGAAACAATTTATGGTTATAATTACAAAATAATTTGAATTCAATGATGCTAGGAAAAAAAAAATGAACACTTGACTTTAGAGATTGTTAATTATGATGTCAATTTTATAAATATTATTTAGATAAATATTGTAAATATATTTATGAACTAGATAGTTAAGATAAAGTGTTGGTGCAGGTTTAAATTTTTTTACTAGGTGATTCTAAAACTTTAACCGTATAGGGAGCTAAGTGCTTATAATTAGTTAAGGACTAGAAAACACTCAAATTAGACACAAAAGATGTTGTATTTGTTATTTAATTTTTTTTACATAATTTTGGATTTTAATTACTTTTCCTAATTGATTTTAAATTTTTTTGGTTAGTCAGTTTTAACCCCTATATAAACAATAGTTGATATGTTATTTTTACTAAAATATTGAATACATATTGTTAAAAAAATATCAATATTTTCCACATTATATGTTGTGTGAAATGATATATGAACAAGTTGGTTTTTTTAATATACGTAGATAGTAGTAATAACTTACCTCATAATGCAAAAGTGAAAGTTATTGAGAACATTATAAGGATTTAAAAGACAACACAAAGAGTCTAATTACAGAAGATAGATAATTTGGAGAAAACAATAATAGTTAAATACTTTGGAATGTCTAGCATGGCTAATAAGAAGTGCAAGCGGGGATTGCAAAGAGGATATGGGAAGTAAAGGTGACCTAATGCTTTAAAATATTCTTTTTCATTGAAAAGTATAAAGATAATGTTTATTGTGATATTTCAAATATAGATTCATATAGTTTGATGTTTAGTATACTTTGGTAATATCATGTAAATGCTAAACACTTTGTAAATTATACCCTTTTTTTTTCGAAGCGAAACCTAAAATCCAAGCTTATAAAATAGAGGGAAAGGTTTTCCAACCATAATCAATTTAGAACATGAGATACAAGTAGATGTACACAAGACTGGATAGGTTAGTGGATTAATTGTGAATGCATTAATTATGAAGGCATTAATGGATGAAAAAAAGCAAACATTCCTAACATGATTAAACCTTAAAAAAAAAGAAGCAAACATTCCTAACATGATTAAACCTTTGCTTGTTGATTTTGAAGAGATTATACTTGATGAGTTGCAAAATGGATCATTATTGATGAGAGACATTTAACATTAAATCAATTCGGTGTTAAGAGCTAGTTTTTTAAATCTATTATATTATCAAATGAGTTCTAAAAATGATGAAATAGTGGGGGAAAAAAAAGATACATGAGTTATTGAGAAAATGGTGGATTTAAGATAACATCAATCTTTGTGCAGTTTCAACCTTGGTGACCTTAAAAAAAGATGGTAATTAGTATATGTATATTGACAATCACTCCATCAATAAAAATAATTATATGGGTTATAGGTTTTCAATTTCTGATTAGATGGCATGCTTAATCAGTTAGAAGGGGCATTGATTTTTATTAAAAAAAAATTAAAAAAATGGATACCGTTAAATCTAAATTTGACTAGGCTTTAAAATGTGGATACCGTTAAATCTAAATTTGACTAGGGAGTGAGTGAAAGACAACCTTCAAAAAATATAAAGGATTGTACGAGTAATTATTTTATAAATAAATTTAAAAATCAGGTTATACCTTTATGATTTTCTAACGAATTGAATTTGTTTATAAGATTGATGAATTAGGTTTTATGTGACTCCGTAAATAAGTTTTTAGTTTTTTTTTTCATGATACTTTGATTTATAGTGAATATGAAACTAATGTAAGACATCTAAAAAAAATGCTAGAAATTTTGTTGGAAAATAAAATATACATGAACCTGAAGAAATAAAGTTTTATGATTGATAAACTACTTTTTTTAGTCTTTATTATTAGTTTAGATGATATGCATATTGATGAGGAGAAGATTAGGGTTGTTAAAGATTGGTACATTCATAAAATAGTTATTGAGGTGAATAGTTTTTATGGATTGAATACCTTTTATCGGTAATTCATATAAACTTCAACAACATAGTTGCATCAATTACAAAATGTGTGGAAAAAAAAAAGTTTGATTAGGAAGAAGAGGTATAAAAGAGTTTTAGTATGATCTAGAAATTGAACACTTCTTCAATTCTGGCCTTTTTGGGTTTTGACAAACTATTTAAGGTCAAATATGATGTTTATGATGTAGGAATTGGAGATGTATTATCTTGAAAGAAAAGATATGTGGCATTTTTTTTTAGTGAAAAGTTGAGTGATACTAGATTGAAGTGATTTATTTATTGATGCGAACTTGAAGATTAAGAATCTTAGAATCTATAATTAAGATAGAAAATAACTCAAGAAAGCTAAAATCATATGAATAAAAGCATGACTTGATGGTTACCTAAATTAAGAAACTAGAGTTATTGATGAAAAACCTCAACCTTACAATTACAAAGAATGACAAACTAGAAGTATAGAAAGAATGCCATAAAAACAGTTGATCTAAGTTGAAGAATAGTTTAATGAAAAATCTAAAGTGTGAACAATATAGCATACATACACGATATTATTCTGAAATAAACCAATTCTTTCCTAAAAAAATATAAATACAAGTTAAATAATCATATTTATACTATGTAAAATATCATAAATAATGTTGAAAAATAACATAAAAGTTCTAAATAAAATTAGAAAAAAATTCAAAACAAACTAAAAAAATAATGCAATTCATGTGAAGTAGCTTTTGAGCTTTATTGCAAGGCCTTCCTAAAACATACAAAAGTTAACCCTATATAAAAAAAAAAATTTGGCATATTTTAAAAAAAGTCCGGCCCAATCTAACATTTGGATTAAAGGTTATACTTATTATTGTAAAATTACAAATCACTACAAAATTTAACCCTATATAAAAAAAAAGTTTTTGGCATATTTTAAAAAAAGTTCGGCCCAATCTAACATTTGGATTAAGGGTTATACTTATTATTGTAAAATTACAAATCTAAAATTTTGCATAAACAGGTCAACCATTTAGGACTATCAAATGAACTGGTAAGTCGCTTATTTCTCAATAATGAACACCTGAGAATTTTGTTGGAACTGATTGATTGGTTGGGTTGATCAATTTTAACTGGTCGACCATTTTAGTTATCAAAAGAATAGTAACGACTAAAACAACTAGTTTTTCTTTTATATATATAACTTGTATATTTGCAAAATTAACAAGAGAATCCAAACACATATGATATATAAGCTATTATAAGATTAAAACTAGTACAAAATCATCAATCTTTAATCATACTATAATTTGAGCTATTAAACATTTATATTCTAGCACAAAGAATATTCAATATCATTCTCACTACATTTAAATATATTTAAATCTTATAAGTGTGATCTAGTGATTTATAGAAATATTTGAACTTAAATTGTATTATACACTATATTGAGAGAGTTTAATGTCAAAAAAAAATATCATCCTTGTAAACCATTAAGAGTAAAAACTATTGGTATTGGTGAGATATTTTTACCAAGAGAAATATCTTAAATATGACATGTCTTCAAGTAAGAAGATCTTGAATAAAGGATTTATTCAAGTGGTGTAAAAAACATGGTGTGGATTCATCAAGTGATAATTACACTATAAAGCTTGGACGGGTTTAGGAATATAATACTCGAGTATAGTTTAGTAATTAAGGTGTGAATGTAGGCTTGTCAAATCACAGTGAAAATGAGTTTGTGAATTATCTC